GGGGTGGCCCGGCGGTGGCCCGGAGCCCGGCGAAACGTCCCACGGCCACGCGGGAGCCGGGCACGGAGGGGGCTGCACGCTCCGGTGCGGGCGGGCCAGGGGAGGCTCCACAGCACATTCCTACTTTATATTTAAAGTCTATAAATAGCTATAAATATCTATATAACCCCTTTGGAAGGTCCCTTTTTTCTATGGAGATCGTTGCCTTACGCTCCCCGCTCCCGATTACCAACACTGTGTATTGTGAGTGCTTTTTTTAAATCTTTATTTAATTTCTCTGTAAGACGCTGCCCATCTTCTTGACCCCCCCTCCTCTTAACGTTTCTTTTCCAACACTGAAGAGGTTTCTTTTTCTCTCTGATGATTTCTCTCTCCCCACTTTTCTGTTCCCAAGTGACGTGGCGTTTCCTTTTGAATTTTGGGACTTCAGCCCCCTCTCCTCCCCCGTGTGCTGCCCACTGTGTATAGTGTACATTGTATCATAGATTATATTGCTTTTGTGTTTACTACATGTTTAAAAAAGAAAAAAACCAAACATATGGCTTGTTATTTTTGAGCTTTTAAATTAAACAAATCCACTTTATTTTTTAGTTGTAACTGCCCCGAGGTTGGTTTCTGGATTACGTGACAGATCTGTTATACTACACTTTATTAACTGTAACTGGTTGGCCAGTGTGGAGCCAACTGGGAGCTTTCCTTGCTAAATAAATTTAGTCCCCAGAGGCAAATCCAGTGCAGCGTGTGCCGCCGAGGGTCCTTTCTCTCCCGAGCCGTGGTGCTGGGCCCGGCAGCGCCGTGAGCGGGGCTGTGCCGGCTGCAGTGGGACGTGCAGCGAGAGCCAACCGCGACGGCGAAGAGCTGAAGGCCCTTCTGCCTTCTCGGGCAGCAAGCGAGCGGGGTTTATCTACAGTAATCCCAAACGTCGCTGGAAATGGACATATTTACAGGAAAACAGTCCCGGGCTGTGGCTGGATGCGGTGAGCGTGCGCTGGTGTGGGGGGACAG